TTCAGCTTAGCGAGTCCAGTTAAAACTATCAAGGTCAGCATCAATGTCGAAGTCGTCAAACCCTAGGCTATTGATTTTGCGGAAGTGTATGACGCTACAACAACAACATACATCATGCATAGGCAGTACGTCATATCCCACAACACAACTAAGACACCATTAACTTCACACTCAGACCTACACGAAAAGCATGCACTAGCACATACAACAACGGATAATACATACATCTATTCCACACAGTACAGTAGAGTAGAATAGAGTAGAGTAGAGTAGAGTAGAGTAGAGTAGAGTAGAGTAGAGCACAGCACGGCACAGTACAGTACAACACAACATGTCATAGCTCACTAAAGCTGACCTACCTGACCTTGCGACAGCACACCAGCTTGATCCGATACCGCAACATGTCAGATGAAACGCCGTCTTCTCGAATACACGTAGTACTGAGATACAATACCACAGAAGACCTATGACACTCTCCTCACTAGACTGTAAGCCTAGTTAGTGATGCAGGCGACTATAACCGTCTCATGTGATACACAAGAGAAGGAAGTATGCAGTACTATTATTCATCAGTTGACTGATCATGTAGTTCACTGTTTGTGGATATCTCTGTTGTGCCGTGTGTTCACGTAGAGACGATGAACTTGTTGGTGAGTTCAACTGCTTTACGACTGTATGACGGTGATTGGAAGATGTTGAGATCTATCTGACTGTAAGTGATGTATTATCGTTTGTATGAGCACAGAGTGGGATAGAGATTTATATTGTGAGTGGATGGAGGATGATTCTCGAGAGTGTGTGTGTGTGTGTGTGTGTGTGATGAAGAAGCCATGATAGTGCCATATATTTGACTGTTGATGTATATCGATGAAGCTGTAAGCGAAGTATATATTGTATGTAGATGTGGTCATATATATGTGGTTAGATGTGTGTGTTTGTAGGCATTTGGACAGAATAGTTTTGAGAGAGTTGTCGTGATATGACGTTGTGAGTGTATGGTGTGTGAGATATTTGAGGAGGAAGGTGTAGGTTATCATGTTATCATGTTATCAGGTTGTCAGGTTGTATGGTGAAGTGGTATATGCTGAGGTGTTTGAATAGTATCATGACTGCTAGTTCATGGTCATTTCGTCATGGAATGATACCGTCATTGAGGCAGTCAGTGTGTGTGTGTGTGTGTGTGAGTGAGTGGGTGAGTGAATGTGTTGTATAGTAGTGGTGTTGTGTTATGGTGGAATGTGTTAGTTAGTGTTTGTAGTTGAATGAGGTGGGAAGTCAGGCAGGGAGGTAGTTCGGATGGGTGGGTGGCTGATGTTGTGATTGATTTGGTTGAGTGTATTTTCATGTAATGAGTGAGTGGTTGGAGGTGTAGCTGTTGATTTGTGTGTGTGTGTGTGTGTGTGTGTGTGTATTAAGTGTATGTTTGCGTTTGTGAATGTGTTAGTGATAGTTGTTGTTTGGGGTTTTATGACGATGGTCTACTGAATTGGTGGGTAGTAGTATATGTGGTTTGTGTCTTGTTGTTTTGTGTTTGATGCATAGGTGTGTGTTTGTGTTGTTGATGGTGTTAAATGACAGTGGGTGGTGTGTTGTATTTGATTGTTTGTTGTGAGTTAGTTGTGACGTTGTTGTGTAATGTGGATGTGTATTTGTTGTATAATATTTGTGTTGAGTGGATTGAGTGTGAAGTGTTTGAGATTGAGGGGGTTGTGTGTGTTGAAGTGTGTGTTTAAACTTACTTGGCGCCGGGACCAGGGTGATCATGAATGCCCTGGCCCCAGGTGGAGACTCGCCTTTGCACTCCGGCGTGTTGAAGCCTGCGACGATCCCTAATCGGGCTCGCTCGGACGCGTAGTTTTTGCCAGTGGGGAGGTCTTCGGATCATCCCTTTAATGAGTAACACAGTCAGTCCTCTACGGATACTAAACTCTTAACAGCACTCTTAAGAACAACAACCTCTCTTACCTCCTTATATAATAACGTGTGCACACCTACCCACCTCACTCACAATATCACTCATATCAACAATGAACACACTCCACACACTGGGAAGACAATGAAGGCACCCGGTCAAGCATCCTCGCCATTTGGCACGCTGTCGTGTTACGTTGCATTGCTCGTATTCGACTCTCTAGCCAGTTAGTTGGAACGCATCGGTATTTTGGCATAACCATCCAAATATACTATTCCAGCCGACTACGCTATCGTGTTCTACCTTGGTCTCGTATTCGTGGGTATATAACAAGTTCGAATAATTAGTGATTGGTCTTTGCGTCTGTCAAGTTCGCACCAGGACAAATCCTAAATTGGTGAGCCCGACGTGATCACATATCCCGACCAATAACAAGTATTGAATTGGTGAGCCTGTTCCATTTTATATTTGTTTATTGGTCGGGATATGTGATCACGTCGGGCTCACCAATTTAGGATTTGTCCTGGTGCGAACTTGACAGACGCAAAGACCAATCACTAATTATTCGAACTTGTTATATACCCACGAATACGAGACCAAGGTAGAACACGAAAGCGTAGTCGGCTGGAATAGTATATTTGGATGGTTATGCCAAAATACCGATGCGTTCCAACTAACTGGCTAGAGAGTCGAATACGAGCAATGCAACGTAACACGACAGCGTGCCAAATGGCGAGGATGCTTGACCGGGTGCCTTCAGCTTAGCGAGTCCAGTTAAAACTATCAAGGTCAGCATCAATGTCGAAGTCGTCAAACCCTAGGCTATTGATTTTGCGGAAGTGTATGACGCTACAACAACAACATACATCATGCATAGGCAGTACGTCATATCCCACAACACAACTAAGACACCATTAACTTCACACTCAGACCTACACGAAAAGCATGCACTAGCACATACAACAACGGATAATACATACATCTATTCCACACAGTACAGTAGAGTAGAATAGAGTAGAGTAGAGTAGAGTAGAGTAGAGTAGAGTAGAGTAGAGCACAGCACGGCACAGTACAGTACAGTACAGTACAACACAACATGTCATAGCTCACTAAAGCTGACCTACCTGACCTTGCGACAGCACACCAGCTTGATCCGATACCGCAACATGTCAGATGAAACGCCGTCTTCTCGAATACACGTAGTACTGAGATACAATACCACAGAAGACCTATGACACTCTCCTCACTAGACTGTAAGCCTAGTTAGTGATGCAGGCGACTATAACCGTCTCATGTGATACACAAGAGAAGGAAGTATGCAGTACTATTATTCATCAGTTGACTGATCATGTAGTTCACTGTTTGTGGATATCTCTGTTGTGCCGTGTGTTCACGTAGAGACGATGAACTTGTTGGTGAGTTCAACTGCTTTACGACTGTATGACGGTGATTGGAAGATGTTGAGAACTATCTGACTGTAAGTGATGTATTATCGTTTGTATGAGCACAGAGTGGGATAGAGATTTATATTGTGAGTGGATGGAGGATGATTCTCGAGAGTGTGTGTGTGTGTGTGTGTGATGAAGAAGCCATGATAGTGCCATATATTTGACTGTTGATGTATATCGATGAAGCTGTAAGCGAAGTATATATTGTATGTAGATGTGGTCATATATATGTGGTTAGATGTGTGTGTTTGTAGGCATTTGGACAGAATAGTTTTGAGAGAGTTGTCGTGATATGACGTTGTGAGTGTATGGTGTGTGAGATATTTGAGGAGGAAGGTGTAGGTTATCATGTTATCATGTTATCAGGTTGTCAGGTTGTAAGGTGAAGTGGTATATGCTGAGGTGTTTGAAGAGTATCATGACTGCTAGTTCATGGTCATTTCGTCATGGAATGATACCGTCATTGAGGCAGTCAGTGTGTGTGTGTGTGTGTGTGAGTGAGTGGGTGAGTGAATGTGTTGTATAGTAGTGGTGTTGTGTTATGGTGGAATGTGTTAGTTAGTGTTTGTAGTTGAATGAGGTGGGAAGTCAGGCATGGAGGTAGTTCGGATTGGTGGGTCGCTTTGTATCTGGCTGGCTGATTGATGTTTTCATGTGTTTCGTTTATTGCGTTTCCTCCGGCTAGGCGCTGAATTGGTGAATGTATCGGTGGCTAGGATTTTGTTTGTTCGTTTGTTTTTGTGTGTTTTTGTTTTTTCAAATGACATATATGTGTATGTTTTTTTTGGTGATGTTTCTCGGTGTTGATGAAAATTATCGCAGTTGTTTGTGTTGTGTATTGTGTTTTATTCAATTGAATGAGGATTATTTTTAGAGTTGTGTTGCGATTGTTTTTTGGGTTGTGTTTTCGTGTGTATGCGTTTCATGGAAGTTTGCTGCTTTGAATGTGTTGCAGAGAGTTGTTATTTGGGTGTAGTGAGCGTGGTCTACTGAATTGTTTTATAGTAGTATATGTTGTTTGTGTCTTGTTGTTTTGTGTTTGATGCATATGTGTGTTTTTGTGTTGTTTAGGTTATGTTTCAACCTTATTTAATGTGTTGTTGGCGGTTTTCCCGTTCTCCTGTCTGTAATTTCTTGGTTTTGGTTTGTATGAGTTGTATTTTTGTATGATTCTCTCGTTATTTTTTTTGCTTCCTGATTGGTTTTTCTTTCTGATTTGTGAGTTGTTGCAGGGTTTGCTGAAGTATTTTATATAGTCTTAGCCTATGTGCGATTGGGGATTGGAATCTACAGGTATTGACTTTCACGAAATGATGTTATTTTCCTTAAGATCTCTTGTTGAATTTTTTGTTTGCAAATGACAGTGAGAATGCTAACATCGAAACCTTGTTTTGATTCTGCTAACACTTCTGCTATCTGTGCTCATTTTGAACTTTAATGATTACATAATACCTGGGGTTCTTAACGTGGTTTATCCTCATGAGGCTACTTGTTTGATTCCTATTGTGACATAAGTTTTATTTTCATTTGTAGTCAGCACTTGGTTTCATTCATAACGTTTTATCAATATCGAATTACTGTTAACTGAATGTTTATCGACGTCTTATATGCTGGTTGTTTCTTTTTCTTTTCTCATTTAGATACACTGTGAAGTGATGTATGATCCAGATTCATGTCGATATTCCTTATTGGATAGAGGTCCTAACTCTGGGACATCTATAAATGGAGTAACATTGAAAAAGGTAATTAGGCAACGTATATGTACTTATAGTATTTGTGTTTCATTATCTCTTGCTCTAGATTACTTTCTATGCTTATTTGAATGTGTAATTAATAATAACGAAATTGGAAAGCTAAAAATTTAGCATATTGACTCATTGACTAGAATAGGTTAGAATAAAACATTCTAGTGAATTAGTTCAAATGCTTTACTCAGGAAGGATATTTGCTAAGGAGTATAATTTCTGTAAAAACAAACTCGTGTGAAATTAGGAGAGATGCAAAATAATACCAAATATTTTAATAGGATAACCTCGCTTGGTTAACTAGTTCACTAGTTACTAGCCGGTCCTAAGCCCGGGTAACAATAAGCTCCAATCACCAACAACGGGAGTAATCTAAGAGAAGTAGTCTTTTCCACCTGTCTAGGCAGCATCTTTCCAACTACAGGCGACACAGGCACACACACAGACGAGGATGTCAAAACCAGCCACGATCGGAAAGATAGCGAGACATGCCTTCATTAACCTGAAATAATCAGTGTGGAGATCTTCTGCACTCCACTCAGCATAAAGCGTGAACGAGATCCGGATTTTCAACACCAATTCAGTCAAGTCAGTGCTTCTGTGTGATGGTTCAGAAACTTGTCGTGTCACGAAAAGCATTTCCAACTAACTACAGACATTCATCAACAACTGCCACCTACACCTACGCTCACTCCATACTGAAGATCAGATGGCCTGAATAATAAGAATAAGCAAGAAGGAACTCTGGCTGGCTGGCTGGCTGGCTGGCTGGCTGGCTGGCTGGCTGGCTGGCTGGCTGGCTGACTACGAACCAACGAAGCAATAACCTATCAGTCAACAAATATGCAGAGGAAGAAAGTGGAGATGGAATGTACTGGGCATACACTAAGAAGATCGATTGGGGACATGAAGTGCCAGGCCAGGTACTCGAGTGGAACCCAGATGGGAAACGGCGAGTTGGGTGTGTGAGCCGAGGGTGATATGAAGTAGATCGTGTGAGGAAGAAATGAGAGCTTGTGGGCAGTCGTGGCGCCAGGTTCAAAAGACTGCGGAGAACAGAGTGCAATGGAGGCATGTTACTGAAGCCGTATGTTCCACTAGGAACTCAAGTGACAAATAATAATATAATTTTGATAGGATATTAAATCAATACGGTCAGATAAAAGGTGATGGTACTTACATTACTGTAATTCATTTCGACTGCATTTTTTAATGCCTTTAATTCTAGGATTGTTTTACTCTTACAATATTAATTAGCAAACATGGAGTTTATCTCATCATTCAAACTAGTAACCGACAAGTTGATGACAACGATACGCTTTAATTTTTGGATACTTTCTTTCATTTTTGAAGCTGAAATGTGTACAGGAGTAGGCTTGATATTGTGAAAATTCACCTACAACACCTTTTTATGACATTCATATCTGATTGTTGAACATTAGATATATAACTCCTTTGTATGTACGTATGTATGTATGTATGTATGTGTATTGTTGTCTTGTTTCTCTGAGAAAGTGTTCACTGAAAAATACTCATTTGGTTGTGTTTTCTTATTTCCAACAGATATCATGTGTTGTAATTAGGTGGATTACCATTGAATGTGAAGAAATCCACCTGTTTAGTCTTAATTGATGATCAGTATGAGAGTACTATTTGACTACAATCGATGAAGCAATTAACATAGGCGTACTGTAAACTTAGACATCAACAGACATTAACAACATTTATTTATTATTAATATTTTCCCCTTTAGTTCCTAGTGGAACATACGGCTTCAGTAACATGCCTCCATTGCACTCTGTTCTCCGCAGTCTTTTGAACCTGGCGCCACGACTGCCCACAAGCTCTCATTTCTTCCTCACACGATCTACTTCATATCACCCTCGGCTCACACACCCAACTCGCCGTTTCCCATCTGGGTTCCACTCGAGTACCTGGCCTGGCACTTCATGTCCCCAATCGATCTTCTTAGTGTATGCCCAGTACATTCCATCTCCACTTTCTTCCTCTGCATATTTGTTGACTGATAGGTTATTGCTTCGTTGGTTCGTTGTCAGCCAGCCAGCCAGCCAGCCAGCCAGCCAGCCAGCCAGCCAGCCAGCCAGCCAGCCAGCCAGCCAGCCAGCCAGCCAGCCAGCCAGCCAGCCAGCCAGCCAGCCAGCCAGCCAGCCAGCCAGCCAGCCAGAGTTCCTTCTTGCTTATTCTTATTATTCTGGCCATCTGATCTTCAGTATGGAGTGAGCGTAGGTGTAGGTGGCAGTTGTTGATGAATGTCTGTAGTTAGTTGGAAATGCTTTTCGTGACACGTCAAGTCTCTGAATCATATAGAAGCACTGAATTGGTGTTGAAAATCCCTATCTTGTTCTTTGTGCTGAGTGCAGTCACAATCATACAGTGCTATGCACCCATAAATAATACAGAGCAAGAGAAAAAGGAGGAATTCTACACACAACTGCAATCAACACTAGACAAGACCACAAGCCAGTTGCCTATATCAAAATTCTAATGGGAGGGGCGACATGAATGCCAAACTGCGGGGAGCAGACAACACAGGAAGAGGAACTCATCATGGGTCGAGAAGCGCTCGGTGAGGTGAAATGAACGAGAATGCGGAATTGTTTGCAGAATTCTGTGCATTCAACGATTTGGTGATTGGAGACGAGGTAGTGTGTACAAACACAAGGATATTCACAAAGCGAGATAGACTTCACCAGATGGACATGCTAGAAATCAGATCGACTTTATCTGAATGTGAAGAAAGTGGAGATGCAGCCAGCCTACTTGACACAAAGTGAAGAAGAGGAGTAGATGTAGACTCAGAACATTATCTAGTACAAGGAACCTTCGAAATTAAGTTGAAAGCCTTGAAAGAAGTTAATGATAGGCCTAAGATAGTTGAGTAATCGTCTAAATTGTCTCATTTCATATCAAAATATCAAAACAGAACAGAACGAAATGAAAGACAAATGAATTAAAATAACTTAATCCAAAGTTGTGGATAATTGGTTGGAGATAACAAAACGAAGGTGGTGGTGCCGAAGTGAATCTGAACCACTACGATCTATTCCAGTCTCATGAATTTCAATCTTATGCATCAATATATGTGAGTCATGAATGCTATAATATTGTAGCTTATTGGATAGGGATAACTCTGTGGTATCAACTATTTGATTGAATAAACTGTAACTAATCTCTGACATTCAACATATTCGGCTGAATAGTTCAATAAGTGTGTATGTTGTTAAAATGGATGTACTTTACTAGTTTAACATGGCATTCTTGTATTCTCTTTATTTGAAAATATTATCTATCATTTACTTTTCAGAACAAATCAGCTGCATTGTGTCATGGTGATGTTGTACGATTGGGTTCAGCTCGTCTACTTGTTCATATACACAATGGTAATGAAACATGCGGACAATGTGATTCAGAAGAGATAAAAGCTGCACTAACTGCAATGATAGATGTGAATGAAGCAAAAGATTGTAAACATCAAGATGATTTCTCTAATGGTGATCAAAATCCACATAATCATCAACCAAAATCTTTATCCCGTAATTTATTTTGATACCTTTTTGAAATGTATATCTTTGAGATTTTATGGTTTACATGAAAGTTTTGAACTATTCTTAGCCAAAGTAGTGAGTAGTCATCGAAGAAAGTTTTAAGGTGCTACACGTTAGTGAGTTCTAGACTAAAACAGAACATTTTTTTCTTCAAAGTAATCTACCCTTAAAGCATAAACTAGCTAAGTTGACTTTGTTACGAGTTCTTATATATATCTGAGTTCCTTGTTCCTTATTCTGTCTCGCCTTCACATCTGATCTTCAGTATGAAGTGAGCGTAGGCGCAGGTGGTAGCTGTTGATGAATATCTGTAGTTTGTTGGAAATGCTTTTCGTGACACGACAAGTTTCTGAAGCATCACACAGAAGCACTGACTTGACTGAATTGGTGTTGAAACTCCGAATCTCGTTCACTCTGTGCTGAGTGCAGTAGATTTCCACACTGCTTTCAAATTAATGAAAGCCTATCTTGCTGTATTTGTGATCGTGTCTGGTTTTGACATCGTCGTCTGTGTGTGTGCCTGTTTCGCCTGTAGTTGGAACGATGTGCTGCCTAGATAGGTGAGAAAGACTACTTCCTTTAGATTTCTCTCCTTAATGTTGATTAGTGCTTGTTGCTGATGCTGTACCAATCACCATTAAGGGGAGAAATCTAAAGGAAGTAGTCTTTTTCACCTATCTAGGTAGCATCGTTTCAACTACAGGCGGCACAGGCACACACACAGACAAGGATGTCAAAACCAGCCACGATCGGAAAGATAGCGAGACGCGCCTTCATTAACCTGAAATAATCAGTGTGGAGATCTTCTGCACTCCACTCAGCATAAAGCGTGAACGAGATCCGGATTTTCAACACCAATGTCAGTGCTTCTATATGACGCCTTGCGAAAAGCATTTCCAACAAACTACAGACATTCATCAACAACTGCCACCTACACCTATGCTCACTCCATACTGAAGATCAGATGGCCAGAATAATAAGAATAAGCAAGAAGGAACTCTGGCTGGCTGGCTGACAGACTGGCTGGTAACGAACCAACGAAGCAATAACCTATCAGTCAACAAATATGCAGAGGAAGAAAGTGGAGATGGAATGTACTGGGCATACACTGAGAAGGCCGATTGGGGACATGAAGTGCCAGGCCAGGCACTCGAGTGGAACCCAGATGGGAAACGGCGAGTTGGGTGTGTGAGCCGAGGGTGATATGAAGTAGATCGTGTGAGGAAGAAATGAGAGCTTGTGGGCAGTCGTGGAGCTAGGTTCAAAAGACTGCAGAACATAGAAATTGTCTATGGATCAGATTTTAATTCTATTTCACTCCAACTGACTGAATTTTTCAAGATGTGATAATATGAATTATTGAAGTGTACTGAACAACCAAAGCTATCCTGTTTATCAACTGCTTCATCTTTGATATACTTCTAGACAATTTACAAGCAAATGAAAATGTCAAGATTATTTGTAAAAACTTTATACATCAAATTAGTCGGTAAGATGAAATGATGAAAAGTTTAGCGTAGAAATTTCGCTGGATTAGAGTATAAGACGACCAGTAATCTGGAAGTAGTTGAGTTGAATTCAAACATAGAAATGAATTTTTATCAATTTTTTTCTCCTCAATTAAACAATAACTTTCGCATACTATGACTATCTCAGTTTGTTCTGTTGTACACTATCAAACATACTACTGTATTTATAATAAAAAGAATAATAATACCATTTTGGATATTTTTCTTCACTTTTTTTCTCTTTCATTTGTCTTTTGAACAATTAAAACGATAATGAAAACATTGACCATTGAATCGTCATCAACAGCTCACTCATTAAGAGATGTTGAAAGAAGAGTGAAATTAGATGAGATTAAGAAGAAATATGGTTTAAAGGTTAGTCGAATATTACCATTATTATCACAATGATAGTCAGTTTTGCAGACTATGCATATGTCCATTTACTTTATTTTGGTATACATTCAATCAGTATTCTTGCAAAATATTATCTATTATTGTCTATGTTGAATAAATACATATACACCTGACGATACACCTTAGACCATTTGTAACAGATGCTCAATGGATGTTGATTATTAAGTGAGATAAAGAATATGGAGTTAAAGAGGATAATATCTATATTTTTTTTTGTTTCACGGCGGGTAAAAGTTTTGAAAAACCTTAACAAAGTTCTATTGGTGCATAAACAAAATGACTACTGATCACGGCACACTACATGACCGATTACAATACAGATCATTCGACAACTACCTCCTATTGAATAACATTGAAACTAATTTTATGAATAATAATGGTTATTGCTTTGTTCCAAACAATTTGATACAGTTTTGAATTTTCAGTATTGCCACAACCCATACTGAGCCATGAGTTAAAAAGTGGCTGTATTCTTACTCTTCTGAAAAGAAATAGTTTACTGAAGTCGGTGTGCCTCAAGCAGTACTATTTTCTACGTTTCAATTCCCCTTCTTCTTGCACGACTTACATTATTCTGTTGAAACTAGTTTTATTGAGTGCGCTCCATCACCTGACGGTTTCTATGTCGATTAACTCTCATTCAGATTGCTCTGAATTAGATAGTTTCTCATCTGAAATTGACCAATGATCTCTCTCAAATTGTTTCAAGCTAAACTCTTCTGAATGTCAATCAGACTGTTAATTTTAGCTTCAGGCTTAAAGAAAGACTTGTGTGAGCTGCTTTAGTTCCGTGACTCCTGTTGCATTGATGGTATAGCTGTAGAAAGTAAATCGAGTGTTAACTATCTTGAATTGAGTTTTACTTGTGATGAAGAAACTCAGACTCTGTGATATAACTCAACACGTACTTCTACGACTTATTAACTCGTGCATCTTACCTCTTCTTCTTCTCTATTCTTCCCATTGATCTTCACTGGTCTACTAAAACGAGATGATGCTAAATTGTGCTTGTGTCCTTGTGACTCAAGTGAACAACAGTGTAGTTGACAGAGATTTGAATTCCAGCAAGCAACTGACTAGAGTAATTTTACCTGACACTGAGTATCCACTTTATTCAGAGCTGTCTCCTTGAATGTTCTCAGAGAGAATGAAGCGAAATCACAAATGTTGTGGGCTCCTCGTACAGTTACATACAATAATTCGACTGTGCCTTTTTTGTCCCCTGTGTTGAACAGTATTAGTTGTAAATGCATCCCAATGTGAATGTGGATAACGGAAGCAGATATCCTATCTGTTTGACAATAGTATTGTAAATCTTATCCTGACCGACAGGCGCCTAGCATGCATACTGTATGGGCAAAAGATGTTAGAACAGAACTCCCATATCAACTTTCAAACAATGAATAGCCTGTCTTTCCAATATTTCAATCAAGAATGTAGAATTTTCTTATTAATATTCTTCGCATAGCTTAAATTGTTATGTTAATACTATTCGATATGTTGTAAACGGGTACATATATATATATATATATATATATATATATATATATATATATATATATATATATATATATATATATTGCTGCAACGGCTCTAAAGGTCACTTTAGCAAACAATGAAATAACCAGCTGGTGAATTAAGAAAACCTAACTGGTTATTTCACTGGTTGTTAGGATAGTTTTAGAGTCACTCAATTTTACTGTTTATTTTTTAAAAATCGCTTGACGTGACCGAAAACTAGTTTAAAACTTTAAAGCGTCCTGCTAACTTGAAACACTAATAATCTAGGCCTAATTATGCGAGTACATAATATAAGTCATCAGGTGAAACTGTGAAACTTCTTATGTAATTTTTGTCAGGAGACATGCACAAAGTTTAAAAATTTATCACCTTTAGAGTTTGACTTTCATGCAGTTCACGTTGGACTGAATAGATCAAACGTCTATACTGCTATTGGCTGTCCTTTTTCTGTTTATTTTATTTTACGATTGACCAAATTACGTTGCTTGAATATATCTTGATCACAAATATCAAGTTAAAAAAAAAACCCGGTAAAAGATGCAAACTGATTGAGGCAGAGGAATTAAACTAAAGTGAATAGGTTAAACAAAATTCTTTGTGAAAAAATTAGATGAAAAAGTCAAAATGCACTCAGAAACCTTATGCACGTTCATGCAATAGGCAATCAGCCACGCTTATTATGTTAAGGGCTAATGATACAACCTGGTTACCGGAAGCTCTGTAGGTCAAGTTGGGTTTGAACTCATGACCCATCGATAGGAAACCAAGTGGCAATGAGTCACACTTTCACTTATGAAAGAATTTACGGTGGCTAGTGGAATGGTAGAAAAATGCAGCTAACCACTAAAACAAAAAGCAACACCTGATCAAAATATACATGCTCAGTATCTTAACTGTAAGTAGTCTGTATCAACAAATCACAGGGATGCAAGATTAGTTAGTTTATCAAAATTCAAACTAAGTCGAACAACATAATAAATTATCCCTGTGAAAATGCCCATCCTCACTGAATCATAAGGTACTTGCACTAAGGAAGATAGGTATGTCGCTGATCTGTTTGATTTCAATATATCCACTTGGCAGAATGCTACCATCAGAACACCCACATCTTTCAATGATACATGGTTTTGTATATTTTTAAAAGAAAACAGATAGTGCCATATCATATTCTGTTGAAATGATAGCATGTTAGAAATGTAGACGATTCGATATAAAGGATGTAAGATGCCTTAGATTTATTTACACGAACTAAGAATGGTTTTTGTTAAAAATCAGTGTTTTATAGTGTTTTTTAATGATACACTTAAATAACTACTATTTATTGACATACTTGTTATTTTTCGTTGTTTTGTTGGGTCACATTGTTCGATCTCTATTGGTATATGGGCTCCTATGCGGATGCCTCGATATTGCCTGAATGTTAATTATGATAATTTGGTTGGTTGTGACTAGCAGAAGAATCCAGGACGCGCTAATAGAGGTCGAACAATTCGATTCAACAAAACATCGGAGAATAACAAGTATGTCAATAAATAGTAATAACTACCACCCGCTGCACAAGAATCGGCCGTCGTTTCTCTGTGGCATAGTGGAAAACGCCTTGACGTTTGGAGCGATATATACGAGGTTCGAGTCTCAGTGGGGACAACATCACTGGTGCAGACACATCCGGCTGACGAGTCCCAAATAGGACGAAAGGCGCGTACTGGATTCTTCTGCTAGTCACAACCAACGGGATTATCATACATAGATCAGCTAAAAGAAGTCTTACTTTGGTAACAATGCTTTAACTGTTTACGTAGGCGAACCAATAATCTGTGTACTAGTCTGTTGGTCACATCTACTGTGTAATAGCCAATGGTAATAGCTAGTAATACAAACCAAAATAGGTAAACCGGGTTCATAGACTATGATTTAGTGGTTGACTCTTGAATGTCTACATCAACTAATCGTGATTTCAGATTTGCGTTTAATGATTCGTTGATAATTAAACCTGACTGTCTTCAACTATGTAACAGTTAAAAAATGCCTGATACTTATTATGAAAACTTCTATGCAACATGCAAAGGACGTCTCTTGATATAGCTAGCGAAGTACGATTGAAAACCGGCAAACGTTCCATTTAGTCTGACCTAACAGATACTGACCTGTTTTTACAACCATGAACTATATTTTCTCGGTATTCCATATAAGCAATTTTCTCAATGACTGAACAAAGCCGTGAATATACAGGTGTATTGATCTGCTTTAGTGGTTTTTTATATTTTTGTTTATATCTTCACTGCACATTTTTTAGTCTTTTAGTACTCACCTTTTATGGGGTAACCTCGCCTGGTTAACTCGTTCACTAGTTACTAGCCGGTCATAAGCCCCATAAAGAGGGAAGGCTGGGCATAGGGCTAGCAACCCAACCCTGTAAAACAAATCTAACCGCTAAAGAAACTTCAAAGCACAAACAAAATATAAAAAATAAAAACAAAGTTATTCTTCACTGGAATCGGAGAGGCGAAATGACGCCAGTTGGTGAAAGCCTTCCAAAAGCCAATTGGCCGATGTATCTTCTCTCGATGAAAGCAAAAGTAAACGTGGGGATATGGAATGTCCGCACGATGTTTGAACCCAGCAAGGCAGCCCAGATCGCAAACGAGATGAGAAGGTATCACATTGAAGTGCTTGGGATTTGCGAAGGCAGATGGAATGGAAGTGGACTCTCCAAACTGTCAACTGGAGAATCAATAATCTACTCTGGTCACCCAGACGACAACCACGAGCACACTGAGTTTTCGAGTGGCTATCATAATGTTCCCAAGGGCATCAAAGGCTCTCTCCCATGCAATGGGAACCAATCTCTCCATGCAGGATCATGACAGCAAGGTTCAACTCAAAAGGAAGGAAGGTCACAGTCATACAATGCTACGCTGTGCACCTGCAAATAATGCAGACGCAGATCAAGAGAAGAAGGAGAAATTCTATAGACAACTGCAATCAGTACTGGACAAGACCTCACCCCAGTTGGTGACATAAAAATTCTAATGGGTGGGGTGACATGAATGCCAAACTGGAAGCGGTCAACTTAGAAAGAGAATTCATCATGGGTCGAGTAGCACTGAGTGAAATGAATGAGAACGGAGAACTGTTTGTAGACTTCTGCGCATTCAACGACTTGGTGATTGAAGGCGAGGCAGTGCGTACAAACACAAGGATATTCACAAAGCGAAGTAGACTTCACCAGATGGACACACTTAAAATTAGATTGACTCCATGTCAATCACAAGAAAGTGGAGATGCAGCCTACTTGACACAAGGTGAAGAAGAGGAGCAGATGTAGGCTCAGACCACTATCTAGTGCAACGAACCTGCCTTCCAAATCAAGTTAAAAGCCTTCAAGGAAGCTGGTGACACACCACAGTTCAAGTACAACACTCGGAAAATAAACAGAAAGACGAAAATACAAAGCACATCTTCACGTCAGCCAGCCATCAAGACAAAATAGGAGATATAGAGGAACATCCCTGAAGGAACCTGTGTGGAAGAACACTGGAAGTCTTTGAAAGAGATGTGGAAAGAAACCTGCACAACCGTATTAGGAAGTAAGAATAAAGAAGACAAGGAATGGATCTCGACGGACCTCCACATGGAAGCTGATAGAGTAGGGAGAGGATGATGGTGAAGCAGAAAGAAGATGAACGAGTGCAGTGCAAGGGTACACAACGAGAAGAGAAACTGAGTACAATGTATAAAACACTACACTGGAGAAAGAAGTGAAGAAGAGTGTGTGGAAAGACAAAAGACACTTCTACGAAACACTGGCAAGTGAAGCAGAACAGGCTGCAGGTAAGAGAGACCTGACAATATTGTATCAAATAACCAGGTTACTATCTGGGAACAGGTCAACACAGATGAATCCAATAAAAGATGATGAAAAAAATATAATCACCGAAGAAGAGGAACATAGGAAACGATGGGCTGACCACTTCAAGAAGCTCTTGAATCGACCACCACCACCACCACCTGCACTTCGTCCAGAAATACCACCTAAAGCCACTGAACTACAAGTGAACACAAATCCTCCAACAAAAGTCGAAGTCGTGAACACCATAATGCTACTGAAATGTGGGAAAGCAGCAGGACCAGTTGGGATCCCTCCAGAAGCACTGAAAACAGACGCAGAGACAACAGCAGACATGCTCACACCACTATTGCAGAAGGTGTGGAAGGAAGGGAATGTACCTACAGATTAACTAGAAGGGTTACCTTGTCAAACTCTCGAAGAAGGGAGACCTCAATGTTTGCAAGAACTGGCGAGGAATCACGCTTCTGTTCAAACCAGGCAAAACATCGAGCCGCATCATCCTGAAGAGACTAAAGGATGCACTGGATTCAGAACTACGACCGAAACAGGCTGGCTGGATTCAGGAAGTACAAATCATGTGCGGATCAAATTGAAACCCTACGCTACGCATCATCATAGAACAGAGTATAGAATGGCAGTCGACTCTACCTCAGCTTCATCAACTTTGAGAAGGCCTTTAACAGCGTCGACCGAGAGGTAATTTGGAAGCTGCTTCAATACTACGGAATACCGCAAACCTTTATCAGCCTCATTCAACAACTGTATGAGGACGCCACACGCCAAGTAATTCACAATAGGAAGCTCAGTGATGCTTTTGAAGTGAAGACAGGAGTAAGACAAGGCTGTCTACTATCCCCATGATATTCCTGATTGTGGTCGACTCGACTGGATCATGCAGCAAAACCGTGAGGAACGAGAAGAGGGGGATACGCTGGACGGCGGAAAAGAACCTAGAAGACTTGGATTTCGCTAGTGATGACTTGTGTCTGATGTTACACAAACTTGAAGATCTACAGACGAAAACTAACAAGTTGACAGAAAAGGTAGGGCAGCGAAGACGGGACTTCAAGTGAACGTAGAGTAGACAGAGGTGATGAAGATACCCAACCAACACCACCACCAACAACAAACTCCAATCACCATCACCATGAACGGGAGAAACTTGAAGGAAGTAACCTCCTTCACCTATCTAGGAAGCACTGTTTCAACTACAGCGGCACAGGCACAGACGAGGATGTCAAAGTCAGAATCGGAAAAGCAAGACAGGCGTTCATTAGCCTGAAACCAGTGTGGAGATCTTCTGCGCTCCACTCAGCATGTGGAACAACATGTGGATTTTCAACACCAATTCAGTCAAGTCAGTGCTTCTGTATGGCTCAAAGACTTGGCGCGTTACGAAAGGGATTTCCGACAAACTACAGATATTCATCAACAACTGCTTACGCTCACTACTGAAGATCAGATGGCCAGAAAGAATAAGCAGCAAGGAACTCTGGCTGGCTGGCAACGAACCAACCAAGAACCCATCGCTCAACAAATATGCAGAAGGAAGTGGAGTTGGAATGGATTGGGCATACACTGAGAAGGCTGACTGGGGACGTCACGCGTCAGGCCAGGTACTCGAGTGGAACCCAGATGGAAGCGACGACTTGGGTGTCCGAAGGTGACATGGAGAAGATCGTGGTAGGAAGAAATGAGAGCTTGTGGGTTGTTGTGGATCCAGGTTCAGAAGATTCCAGAGAACAGAGTGGAATGGAGATGTGCTACTGAATCCTTATTTTCCATTATGAACCCAAGGGACAAATAATAATAAATAATAATTTTGTGGGGTGGTTTTAAAATCTGTTGTTAATAACTCTCCATACCTTTATTATCATTATTATTTTCCCCTAGAATTCCTAGTGGAACATACGGCTTCAGCAACCTGCCTCCATTGCACTCTGTTCTCTTCAATCTTTTCCACCTGGCGCCACGACAACCTACAAGCTCTCATTTCTTCCTCACATGATCTCCTCCATGTCACCCTTGAATAGGATGCCCATCTCGCTGTTTCTTATCTGGGTTCCTTTCGAGTGCCTGGTCTGGCACTTTGTCCCCAATCGGCCTTCTCAGTGTATGCCCAGTACATTCCATCTCCACTTTCTTCCTCTGCATATTTGTTGACTGATAGGTTATTGCTTCGTTGGTTCGTTGTCAGCCAGCCAGCCAGTCAGAGTTCCTTCTTGCTTATTCTTATTATTCTGGCCATCTAATCTTCAGTATAGAGTGAGTGTAGGTGTAGGTGGCAGTTGTTGATGAATATCTGTAGTTTGTTGGAAATGCTTTTCGTGACACGACAAGTTTCTGAAGCATCACACAGAAGCACTGACTTGACTGAATTGGTGTTGAAAATCCGGATCTCGTTCACTCTTTGTGCTGAGTGCAGTAGATTTCCACACTGCTTTCAAATTAATGAAAGCCTATGTTGCTGTATTTGCGATCGTGGCTGGTTTTGACATCGTCGTCTGTGTGTGTGCCTGTGCCGCCTGTAGTTGAAACGATGCTGCCTATGTAGGTGTGTAAGTAAAAGAGACTACTTCATTTCGATTTCTTCCCTTAATGTTGATTAGTGCTTGTTGTTGTTGGTGGTGGCGCTGGTCAGGTATCTTCATCACCTCCGTCTTCTCTACGTTCATTTGAAGTCCCGTCTTCGCTACTTCTTCTGTCAAGTTGTTAGTTTTTACCTGTAGATCTTCGAGTTTGTACCACATTATACATTAGACATAAATCACCATCGGTGGCGGCGAAATCCAAATCTCCTAGGCTCTTTTCATCGTTCCAGCCAGCGTATGCCCATCTTCTCACAGCCACTCACGGTTTGCTGTATGATCCAGTTCACTACAATTAGGAAGATAATGGGTGATAGTAGACAGCCTTGCTGTACTCCTGTCTTCACTTCAAAGGTGTTGCTGAGCTTTCCATTGTAGATCACCTGGCATGTGGCGTCTTCATATAGTTGTTGAATGAGGTTGATAAAAATTAGTGGCACTCTGTATTGTTGAAGCAACTGCCAAATTCTCTATGCCTTTGGATCCCTGTATTTGTTAATTACTGGAAATTTTGTAATTTTAAGTTGTGATGTGATTCTAGTCCAAAATTTGTTAATGGTGATTATATAATTGTTAGTTTTCAATATCATCTATCTTATCACTCTGTGTATATGCTTAAAGGTTAAATCAGATGAGACTTTGACACAAAACTTAGTCAAATTTTCATCTTTTTTTTAATTTGTTTACACTCTACCTTAGTTTCCACGTGTAAAAACACAGACAAAGATTGATAACAAACAATACATAGATCGTGCTGCACAACGACGTGCTATTGAAGCAAATTTAAAAGCAGCAGGTTATCCTCTACCGCCTCCACCTGGAGTTATACGCCAACCAATTACCAATACTCCGTTAATATCTCAACCAACACCAGCCAGTGTGTATAAACCTATTGGGAATGAGAATAAAGGAGCTAAAATGTTGGCTAAGATGGGATGGACACCTGGTCAAGGATTGGGTAAACTAAAATTGGAATTGCTGAACCGGTAAGCTGTTTTTTAAAAGTTTTTATTCATGAAATAAATTTTTGGACAACTATTATGTCTTAATAGTTTGGTTGTTCTTTTTGTGTTTTTGTATGAATGAGCTTGAAATAATTCTCTTAATTAAAGAGTTATTGGAAACTGGAGTGTTAATTAACAATTTTGTACTACCCTCATTCATTTATATGTATATACGACCTTATGCAGGAAGGAGATACCCACTCCTGGTTTCGATTGGTTCTTCACTCGGTATCCGCTTTTAATGTAAAGTGGTTGCTTGTTATCCCCCATTTGTACAGTTTAGCATACAAGCCCCTCGTACACTTACCTTGCTATTACGGTTCGTCATGCTTTGATAGTACTGTAAAGTTGTTAGTAGTGAGTTGTACTCTCCTTAGCGATCCCACCATTATTTATATGATAAGTCTTGAATACTACAAGAAGTGACTGAATTTCACTACTAGTCACTATCAAATACCATACCACAGCATTTCTGAACAGAACCAATGAAAGCGTTAGTGTTATTGGTTATATATATATATATATCGTTCCAATGGCTTCATAGGGTAACTCTAGCAACTACTGGAATAATCAGCTGATGAAGTAAAGGGACCTGAATCTAGCTAATGAGTCTCAAATGGGATGAAACGCGCGTCTTGGATCCTACTGTTGGCCATTATTAGTCATTAATATCTAATGAAAGTGTTACTAAAGGCTAATCAAGTGGAATCAAATCATAGTTATGAAATATTTATTCAGCAATACGAGTCTTGGTTGTTGCGAGCATTTTATCAGTTTTCAGTCAATGTCTGAATTAGAGTACGTTATACATGTCTAGTGAAAGGATAAGTTTTCTGCTAACTATTACTTTAGTCTTCACCTTTGAATGTATCTTATGGTTTGTTGATCCCGTTAAATTACATCTGCTGTTTATCTTTTATGTATTACATGGCGTTGTATTCAAACCATCAAATTTCATTTTAAAAATAGAGTTAATAGCAGCTTCATAGTTTAGAAACTTCTATCTGTATACGAATTAGTCAGTAGAATTTCACTAAAATCAAGGAATAGAGCCTTACCTTACTTATTATCCAGTTACTGACCTGGTATGTATAATTCGATCATACAGGAGAACCAATCCCAGCTCAGATACTGGATTTCTGAACTAATTATACACATAAGATGGAATCAGTCAAACAATTTGCAGGTCATAGGTTTTGTTATGTACTATCCTAAATTTTATTTCTAGAGGGACTAAAAATATGAACGAAATTAGGAGTCTATAGATGGTAAAAGCCACAATAAACACTTCCAGATTATCACTGTTTATTTTACTGATGTTTTTATTCGATGAGAAACTGTATATTTTTCCCCTTTAAAAATTTCTTTTTAAACTTTTATTCAAGATAACTGTCAATCGGCGATTAAATCCACAGGCTGGCCTTGGTTCAAGTAATTCAAAGGGAAATGTAATCCCTATCGATTCTACACCAAGAGAATTATCACAAGCATATATACGTGCAAAGACAAAAGAACGTTTTAATAAAATATTATAGTTAAGCTTATATGAAACTAGAGTTCTATGCATTTATTTATTTATAATAGGGAATTTATAAAGTACGAAAGTTGTCAAGATATATGTATGTGTATGCATTGATCTTTGTTATTGTAGGATGCAAGAGAACCTTCTAAATAAAAGTTAACCAGTTCAAAAAAAGATACTTTGTTGTGTTCATTCTCTTTTTATTTATAATCGGTGTTATATATGTGTAAGATGTAGTAGAAGAGCTGCCTAGTTTAGTTAGGAAGTGGTGTATTCTGTTCTTTTTTCACATATTTCTATTAGAAGAAAATAACACTTGAATATAAAAGTAATGGTAGTATCAAATCTCTTGCTTAAGAAGATAATATACCAACAGTGACTGACATTTTCATCTTGAGATATTATTCACTGGGATAGAAATTGAACAGTAAGATAGCCGAGAATTTTATTATCCTTTACTTTAATAGTAACAGGATATTTTAACTCTCATATGATGTACTAGATTATTTGACTATACTAACAAAAAATAAACTTCTGTGCATATGAACATGTAAATAGGACTTTGTAACTCTTCTTTGAAGAATAGCTACAATCAAAGTAGTGAAACTAATTAGTTACTTTACTTTCAAGGTTGAACTACCAGCTTGTTGAAGAGAAAATGTTTTCAAAAGTATAGTTCAGAGATACATTTGGTGTAAGCAGTTTGAGCAATAAAGGCAACTTTGTTATATCAAGAGAGTTTGAAGAATGTAAGGTAAGTATGAGATGAGATCTGCACTGTACTGGATGCTCACCTGACGTCTAGTGTCAATGTAACACCAACAGCATGTATACAAGCTTATATCAGTGTGTGTCATTATTATAATTATATGGCTTCTGTTAGTTTATCTGAAGGAGAGAAACCTGAGTGGTTGGTATATGGAAATGGAAGAAAACGGAGGTGATGCTGTCATCAGTGACCAAGTGTAAATGTTGATCTATTGGATTCTGCATCGAAACCGTTAGTTGACCGCGCAGAAAAATATTTTGCAATTTTTAAAGTGATATTCAGGAAAGGATCACATCAACTGGTGAGTACATGTAGTTGGCATACCATGTGCTTCGTTGATAGGATCCCCTCACCTCCCCACCCACCCACTATGAAGACTCCAGTTGTGCGTACAAGTTTATGTACATCTGACAAAATCAATATTTTGAAAGGACAAAGAAGGGAGTTCAACACAGCTATATGAACATATTTCGAAAATCCTACAAGTAGTATGATTTAACAATTTCACAGGTACCATTTCTGAGTAACTAATAAACTAATGTTGCACAAACGCGAAGATCTAAAGCCAAAAACTACCAAGCTGAAAGAAGAGGTAGCGAAGACGCGACTTCAAGTGAATGTAGAGAAGACAGAGGTGATGAAGATACCCAACCAATGCCACCACCAACAACAACAAGCTCCAATGACCATCAACTGGAGAATGCTAAAGGAAGTAGTCTTTTTCACCTATCTAGGCAGCATCGTTTCAACTATAGGCTGCACAGACGAGGACGTCAAAGCCAGCCAGGATCAGAAAGACAGCACGATAGGCGTTCAGTAACCTGAAGTCAGTGTGGAGATCTTCTGCACTCCACTCAGCATAAAGCGTGAACGAGATCCGGATTTTCAACACCAATTCAGTCAAGTCAGTGCTTCTGTGTGATGCTTCAGAAACTTGTCGTGTCACGAAAAGCATTTCCAACAAACTACAGATATTCATCAACAACTGCCACCTACACCAACACTCACTCCATACTGAAGATTAGATGGCCAGAATAATAAGAATAAGCAGCAAGGAACTCTGGCTGGCTGGCTGGCTGGCTGGCTGACAACGAACCAACGAAGCAATAACCTATCAGTCAACAAATATGCAGAGGAAGAAAGTGGAGATGGAATGTACTGGGCATACACTGAGAAGGCCGATTGGGGACATGAAGTGTCAGGCCAGGCACTCGAAAGGAACCCAGATAAGAAACAGCGAGATGGGCGTCATAGTCAATGGTGACATGGAGGAGATCGTGTGAGGAAGAAATGAGAGCTTGTGGGCAGTCGTGGCGCCAGGTGGAAAAGATTGAAGAGAACAGAGTGCAATGGAGGCAGGTTGCTGAAGCCGTATGTTCCACTAGGAACGTGAGAGACAAATAATATATAAAGTAATAACAATAAACCAACAGGATGAAAATAAATTCGAATATTTAGAGCTAATAAACAGTTGAAGTAATTTTTTTCCCATAATTTCTTGAAACTTTTGCAATGAAACAGTTAATGTTTTATTAATATATTTAAAGGGAAACGTTTGTATATATTTTATCATCCTGACAACTCCATTTTCGAACTTTTCTTTATTCAGTCTTATGTTCTCATCAAACTCTTCAGTTCACACTTAACTTTGGTTTGACTCTTTTAACCTCAGCTCATTATACTTTGTACACATTTCATTGCTTAATTATAATTAACTCAGGTAGTTTTTTTTCTAAATTCAATATCTTGGCTTCTGTCTCAGTCAGTTTATGAAAATGTGAAGTATTTAGTTGAAAAAAAGTAGTCTGTTGGCTTTTCTGAAGTCAGTTATGTAGGTTTTTTGATGCGAATTTTATCCAAAAAGGTTTAAAAACAATATTCTGCACGGTTACAAAATGACAGCAGTGTATTATTGAGAATTTCTTAATACATACATGGTCAACATTAGTCAATCTGTCATGAGTGACAGCTGACTCAAAGCTGTTTGTACAGTGAATAAAAATCCTTCAAGGAAGATGTTACCCTTCATTTACAGAATTTTGATATTTGTACACAAAGAAGAATTGTTGAACTTTCTTTCCTCATCTAGTCCTAATTTTCATTCAATAAAATCATCTCTTTTCATTCTGCTTACTTTGTACATATGGTGTTAATAGATCTACGAAGACAGTTGTTGAGAGAGCATACGGACCAGACTTGATTTAAACTTTGGTAGGTTTGGTTCAGTAAGCTTCAGAACGGTCTAATAAAGTAGTTTTCAATCGTACGTGACAACTGTGGTCTGAAGAGAAAATTGAGGAGAGATTGGCCATTATCGATCACTAATTGTGCGAAAATTTTCATCAACATAAGTTCTTTAAGAAGCAGGATGAAGAAGAAACGGAGAAACTTAAGTGTATTACGACTTGCTTTTAGAAGTGATGGAACTTCCAGGAGAATCAACAAAATACTTAATGCAGCACTGAAAAGGACGTAGACAGTCTGTACATATCAAACCGATTGTTAATTAAGACAGTCAAATACAGAGAAGTCCGTAACTCTTTCTACCTCCAGCTATATCTACTAATACACATGCACTGGCCCAATCACACACATTGGTGGAACAAGGAGAAGAAACTTGTCACTTCTGAAAATATTACAAAGAATCTGATGTTTGAAGATCCATAGCTTATATTATTTCAATCGTTCGACGCTTAAGTAATACTGGAAATAACGTCCATGCATCGAAATCCTTGAAACTGATCAACAAATAGATGAAACCCTATAACTTGCACTATGCTGAAATAGTTACACTTATTAAAGTTAGACCTGCTCTTTGCCTGCAAAAGGTTACACCACCTGTCAGTTGACTTGGTAACTTTTATTCCAGAACCTGAAAGTACGAAATTTCATGATTTCATATCTTTGTTTTTTACTTTTTCTTCCTGTGTACTTCAAAACCTACTTTTATTTTCTGATCTATGTCCACTATACAACTTAACTTCATAAAAAAACTGCTAACCTTTCTTTACAACTTTTATGTAAACTGTGATCAAGATTTGACCGAATAGTGTGGCAAATATTTGGCGCTGAGTAGAAGGTTGACATTGGATATAGTTTGTATTTGTGTAAGTCACAGTGTGTTTGAAATGAAATAATTCCAACTTTTCACACAGAAGTCTGGTCCGAGGTTCTTTAGGGAAATAACCAGAATTAAAATATCAAGGATATATAAATGAATCCAAAGAACGTGTATTTAATCCCCTGGTCCAATCCTCTTCGTATAGTCATTGTCTTTCTCTATTATGATAACTAGTCCTTCAGTGTGAAACCGTATGTCTCTTGTTGTATGGCTACCATATATATATATATATATGAATCCAGTTGGTATATGCAGTTCAGTTGCCGGAATAGGGTGGAAATGAGTGGTAGTAATGATGATGATGATAATAATAATAATGAATCAAATCAATCCAGATTATGTTGTTGTTGATGCAGAAGTAATGAAGTTGAGACTGGTGTTGACGGTGAATGCTTTGAGTCACCCTCTCTGTTTACTAATTAGTAGTTACCAAGACCCAGCTAACTGTACTCCATCTCATCTGTTCAAACTGTCTGGATTCGCCCATATATGTAGGGCTTAGACTGTCAATCTTTCTGGGTATGACCCAAAACCTCTTTGTAGAACCTTAGGTCCATCAAAGTCAATTTTGTGTCTCATTTCTATGGAGTGTAGCGTGATTACCGATTTGTTTTCTAGTTTCTCAACCTCTGTTGAGGTTTTTAGGATCTGCTTTAAGTATAGCTTATGCTTTTCACTTTCAAATTGACCTGCCTAGCTGTCTCCAATTATACTCTGCTGTAAAATCTGCGCATTTGATTTCATAAACGCAGTTCTGTTGATTTTCTTTAGGTACTACATCTTTAACTGTCATCAAGTTAGAGCGTAAGGTATTCGCTCCATGAAAGTAAGCTCTTGTATCATGTTTGTTGAGAATCCTTCTTATTTCTTCTGAGGTATCTGCTTACGGTATGGGATTATGATAGTGTTATGATAGTTATGATAGTGTCCAGTTCTTCGGAAAGAGTTTCGGCACATCCTTAATTTCATTCTTTAAA